CGTCTTCTGGACTGATAGCACTACCGTGCTAAAATACATAAAAAACGAAAACAAACGCTTTCAAACATTTGTAGCAAACAGGATCTCTCTTATAAGGGATGCCACGGATGTATCACAATGGAGGTATATTGGAACAAAGGAAAATCCTGCAGATGAAGCCTCTAGAGGACTAAAGGCAGACCAATTCTTAAACTGTAGGAGATGGATCAAGGGACCTGAGTTTCTCTCCAAGCCAAAACTACCACCTGGACTCTTTGTAAAGGAAGACTTGTACATCAAACGCAGATGGAGACAAGTGCAATATATGGCAGATCTCTTTTGGAAAAGGTGGACACAGGAATACCTGCCTCTAATCCAAAATAGACAACGGTGGTTAAAGAAAAAAAAGAAGCTTTGCTCCAGGTGACATTGTTGTAGTGGCTGATTCCACTGCTCCACGTGGCTCCTGGTTAATGGGCAGAATACTGGAGACAAAACCAGACGCACAAGGTATTGTGCGCACAGTTCGACTTCAAACCAAGAGCAACATCTTAGTGAGACCAATAACAAAGATATGTCTGCTCCAGGAAGCTGAGACATAAAGAACAGCAAAGACCGATGACCCTTAAAATAAGGGAGAAGAAGAGAAGAAAAGAAACTACAAATTCTTTAAGAATTACATGCTAACACATACACACCTTTTGTATAGCTCCTTTATTATTTATTGGTAATTGTCTTTTTTCTCATACTAAAGCCAATTAGGGGCCGGTGTGTAGGAGCCATTTTGTGGGTGATGTTGGTGTGTTAGTTTATTTAAGTTATATGTATAGTGCAATATTATTTATGAACACTGGGTGGCGGGGTTTAGCTGCACCGGGTGTATATAAGGAGGTCATAGGTGACAGGAGAGGGGTGGACACAGTAGGAGAAGAGCATACCGATTCCATCAGCCCGGCAGATGCTCATAGAATCACTAGAACGCTAAATTAACCCTGGTATGTAAAGACGAATAAACATCATCATAAACCACAACTAAGGACCGGAAAATCATCTGTTTGTGTCTGCGTCTGGATCACTTTTCAACCCTTCTGTGAAAGTAACGGCAAAAATATATAGGACATAGGAAAAGGAAATTGCCATTACACCAAGTAACCCCACCCTTGATGTTGTCTTAAGACCAACCCGGTTTCACGGCAAGACGTGAACAACATGTGACGATTTACCATGCTGGGAGACGTGAACATGTCACGGTTTCGTCCCCTTCAAACGTGACAGCTACACGGTATTGTTAACCCATGTTAACCAGTGGAGAAATAACTGGAAATACCAAGCAAATGCTACCCCGACGTAATGATTTATTTTTTCATAGTCACACTCGATTACAGCAATTTTCTTGTTGCCCCAGCTGGTCGACACCTCTTTTAGCATAAACAAAGGCTACATTAATGTATTAAATCGATGTTAATCCAGCGTGTGGATGTGGAATTAACGGACGTGACGTTGTGCGATTGAGTTGCCAAGCAACAGCTTTGGTTCATGTTAATTTACAAACTATTCAACTACAACTGTAGTTAAATTTAAAAACATGTTAGAAGGCCTCACGAAATACTTTAATGCACATTAAAATGTAAATGTGAAGGAATGTGTGTATAACAAAATACATCGGTCATTAAACGAAACCGGAAACAGACGTAGGCAAGATCCTCAGCTCGATGATTGGATGGTTATCCGCAATGCATGCTGGGATTTGGTGTTTATGTGATGTGAAATCTGAAAACGTTTTTTAAAAATACAATAATACTTTATTCCGAGTGTGCTTGCTTTTCTCTTTGAAAGTCATCACATAACGGCATTGTAATACACGGTTCGGCTGCATTAAATATTACATATCTGCCGTAATTCTCTATTTATAAAGCCCTGCTGAGAAGACTTCTAGACAAACAGGAGAACTGCCGCCAAAACTGAAAACGTGACGTGGATCATAAATATATAAGCAATTAAACAGCATCTTACATTTATTTTCACACCATACGTCTCCTTGCAGTATCAACACTAATTCGGCTGACTTTTATATTTGATCCAATTGGTAGATAGGCTGTATTTACACCATAACCGTGCAGAGCTGATAGAAAGGGACACCTGGTGGTCAAAGCACGTTATTGAATTGTATTATTTTATTATTAGATATTAATAGGAGGATGTGCAAAACAGACAAACTAATAAGGCTTAATTTAAACATTAAAGAGTACTTTAGGTTAAGGTCTTATTTTGAATAAGAAAAAAGCTTTAAGAAGAATATGGAGGGATGAAACCCTCTTGAAACCGCAGGTCCTTCCTTCCTGCAGCCGTCAGACTTTACAACCAGCATTGCCCCTAGTAGACCCTCCTACACACACCACAACACAGACTATAACACCCCTTGCTGCTAAATACAAACCAACTTTGTGCAATATGTGCCTTATGTGCAATATATATATGCCATTAATAACTGTGTAATTTATACCTGGCCACTAAATCAATATATATGCCGTTTTGTTTTTTGATCTGTATTTTTGAAAATTATGTAACTTTTTATATATTTTTTTTAGCATATTGTTTATTATATTATAACTTAGTACTTTTTTAGCATATTGTTTATTTTATTCTAACTTAGTACTTTTTTTAACGCATGTAAGATATGCAACACTAAGCTGTCTGTGGCTCTTTCCTGCTGTAACACTGCACATTTCCCCTCTTTGGAACTAATAAAGGTATTCTGATTCTGATTCTTTAATGGTAACACATGCAGAGCACACAGCACACACAGTGACATTTGTATCTACAGATAAATATTAAGCCTGACAAAGTACTTAACGTCTAATATATTGCTTTCCTGCAATGTTAACTATGTTTAAGCACTTATTTGTTTATTATTAAACTGATATTATACATATGTATTATACTCTTATAAGATGTATGTAGATAGTATAAGAAATGTGCAGAATGACAGTTTAATGGTGGAGTATACACACATATTGATAGATGTCTTGTAATGCACTGTTGAGGAACCTGCGACCCAAGTTTTTCATTCATTGCATAACTAGTTGTGTATAATATGATATGTCAATAAACCTTAGCTTATAAAATCTTGAAAGGGATGTTCAAACTAGTCATTATATACAGTCTTTAATGAACTATTAGTAGAGAATAACGAGTAATGAATATACTTTATAGAGATCCTATTAATATCTAATAATAAAATAATAAAATTCAATAACGTGCTTTGACCACCAGGTGTCCCTTTCTATCAGCTCTGCACGGTTATGGTTTAAATACAGCCTATCTACCAATTGGATCAAATATAAAAGTCAGCCGAATTAGTGTTGATACTGCAAGGAGACGCATTGTGTGAAAAGAAATGTAAGATGTTGTATAATTGCTTATATATTTATGATCCACGTCACGTTTTCAGTTTTGGCGGCAGTTCTCCTGTTTGTCCAGAAGTCTTCTCAGCAGGGCTCTATAAATAGAGAACTAAGGCAGATATGTTGATTGATTGAAAAGTTTATTAACAGCTTGTATATTGGGTACAGTACAGTACAGCTCAAAACATACAATTGTTAAGGGGATGCAGACCAGAGAAAGACTTTCGTCTTGTTTACATCAGGGTCCCCCATTTCCAATTCATCATATCATGTCATGTCATATTTAATGCAGCCGAACCGTGTATTACAAAGCCGTTATGTGATGACTTTCAAAGAGTAAAGCAAGCACACTCGGAATAAAGTATTATTGTATTTTTAAAAAACGTTTTCAGATTTCACATCACATAAACACCAAATCCCAGCATGCATTGCGGATAACCGTCCAATCATCGAGCTGAGGATCTTGCCTACGTCTGTTTCCGGTTTCGTTTAATGACCGATGTATTTTGTTATACACACATTCCTTCACATTTACATTTTAATGTGCATTAAAGTATTTCGTGAGGCCTTCTAACATGTTTTTTAAATATAACTACGGTTGTAGTTGAATCGTTTGTAAATTAACATGAACCGAAGCTGTTGCTTGGCAACTCAATCGCACAACGTCACGTCCGTTAATTCCACATCCACACGCATGGATTAACATCGATTTAATACATTAATGTAGCCTTTGTTTATGCTAAAAGAGGTGTCGACCAGCTGGGGCAACAAGAAAATCGCTGTAATCGAGTGTGACTATTAAAAAATAAATCATTACGTCTGCTTGGTATTTCCGGTTATTTCTCCACTGGTTAACATGGGTTAACAATACCGTGTAGCTGTCACGTTTGAAGGAAACGAAACCGTGACATGTTCACGTCTCCCAGCATGGTAAATCGTCACATGTTCACGTCTTGCCGTGATACCGGGTTGCTTAAGACACGATTCGTCTCCCTGCGGTTCAGCTTTCTGTTTTGGGTCAAAATGCAGAGGGGGGGCTTCTTGTTCAAAGATCTTCTCTGACGTTAACAGGTAAACTACCTCCCCCTCTGTTTTTCAGGTGTGTTTTCTAAGGACGAATACCGCTCCTATACGCTTCTCATCGAGACTCAGTGGCGTAGCAAAAAACAGAAGCTCTTAGATTCAGTGCATCAAATAAGGAACTGATTAGAACGGTTATAAACCTACTTGAATAATTCATTAAGCAATATTGATCGAGCTCTAATGATTTGTCAATGCAACTACATCACATTCTATTAAAATCCTTTTCTTCTACTAAAGCTTAGCAGAGTGCAGCATACTGGGTTCTCCCTTTAAGCTTTCTTCAGAAACTCATAAGATGATTTTAAATGTCCATTCCTCCAACACATCTTTGAGAAATGGCAGGGAGCCACTGCAGTCACGGGATAAATATGTTTCTATTGTTCCATTCTGAATGAACTAAAGGCAAGACATCCCTAACATAAAGTGTCTCTGTTGTTAGCATGTATGTCTACGACCCCCATTTCAATACTTTGTCAAATCATTCAAATTGGATGCTTTGAAGACTACATATTAATCTGACTCGCTGACATTATGGTGATTATATGTGTATCTTAAATTGGTGAAGATATAATTAATAAACATTGTACATGAACACTGTGAATACAGTTAACGAAGAGCAGCACATCGCTTTACAGAAGAGGAAAGACTGACACAAATCACACATTAACAGGGGGAAGAAAAGCTATTGATTTGACAGTTATAAAAAAATGTGACAATTTGAGTGTCAATAAGTATCAGTTAAAAACAGAGATACAGTGGCATTTGGCAAAGTGACATACAAATAAATAAACTGGATCAATAAGTGCAGCCAGTTTGATCAAACATGTAAAAAGTTGACTTATATATATATATTATACATCGAAAAAAATGCAACCAAAACATTTGATATCCGGATAAAAGACAAGTGTGTATTTATATAAGAAGTTGTCACTCCATTATGAAAATACTTGAAGATATGCAAATTAATTCCTGAGAGAACAAAATGAGCCAGGGAGCATGAGAACCTGAGACATTACATTTGTTAGCATTTGTCAAGTTTTTAAGGTGTGCGAAGTGTGTCATAATATTTTGGTGCCCACAGTAATCGGGTGACTTGTATGTCTCTCCTGAAACCGATGCTGGTATCCCAGCAGTACTCTGGAGAGAGAACCTTGCTGGGTTTGTGGAGCAGCATGTACTTGTTCAGATGGCTCTCATCGTGCCACAGAGCCTCCACATTGTTCTGTTTGTCCTCCATGATGCCCTGATAGCAGGCCTCGGTCAACGCTTTCACATTCTTCCACGAGCCCCCCGAAGATGGCAGCGTGGTAGTAAAAAATCCCCAGTTTCCATGTACGCCTTGGAGTTTGGGTTGCGGTCGTAGGTGTACAAATGCTTTGGAAGGCGGTAGTAGTGGGCGTGGAGTAGAGCTACTGAATCCCCAAGAGCCTCTGATCCAAATCTCCCAGTAAATACCTGATCCACATCAAAGCAGAAGACGTGCGTGCAGTGGTGGCGAATATCAGACTCTATCACATCTGATATGCTCTTCATTCGCATCATAGAGACGTCCTGCCACCTGGAGTTCTTCTCCACTTTGATCACCTTCATGCTTCTCAGAGGAGACAACTTGATGTTAGGCACCTTCTCTGGCATATCCGTAAACACGTAGTAGGTCACGGGCAAACCCACCATAAAGTGTTGCTCGGATGAGTTCAGGAATGTGTGTAGGTAAGCATCAAGGTATCTTTTGAGGAAAAGAAAACAAGTCACATTTCTGTTAGACTCTTATCACTCTACCTCCAGAGGAAACTGAGGTCCATTGATGCGTGCAACTAAATGTTGCAGATCTTATTTAGTCTGCTGCTGCAAGTAAAAACTGTTTGCTGCAATGTGCTGGGGCAGTGGTATCTGATATGGTGACCTGAACCGACCAAACAAACAGTAGCCTATGACTTTATCTGTAACTGCACTACAATTAATTTTAAGACTAGATGCAGCATGTCCACTTCACATGTTTATGAGTACAGTAAAACATATATTTTCTAAGTTAGCTATAGTAACTATAAGCACTGGGTTTTTTGGAGGGTCATTATGTTTTGTGTTTTTTTTGTCATGTTTTACAGTTTGTCATAAAGTTTGTCTGCGATAACAGAAACCTGGTGCTGCCAACTTTTCTTTTTTTTTTTACAATCTGTCCAACCATCACCCAGTTAAACATTAATGCACTAAAAATACAGTTGGCTGAGCAGGAGGTATTTAGGTTTGATGACAGATTATCTTTAGAGTTATTACTTTATTCATGTGAAAACCAACCTGCCCACAGCAAAGACTGTTAGAGCCACAGAGGATCCTCTCATCTTGTGCATCTCGTCATAGAGGCGGGGGTCAAACATCCCTTCCCAGATGATGGCAGCTTTCCAATATGTACAGGTTAGCACGTCAGGTCTGGACCTGAAATATAAAACAAATGTATTTTTTTAGACTGAATTCCCTTTTATAATACTCTTCTTTACCAACCTGAAGCTTACTACAGGTAAATTGTGACTCAAACACGTCATATGCATCTAAATATTTTTAGTAGTATTATTTTATATTTACACTCAACTTAGATTCAGTTAAATTCTGTTGCACTAAAACTTTAACTGCAATTTCAGGTTAAACATATAAAATAGCTACCCTTCTGATATGGATTAAGCAAAAATAGTTTTATGTGGCTCCATTAATTCAGCCAACATTTATTTATAAATACACCTTCTTCTTAGGAATTATTTAAAAAGGTGAAATACAAAAACCACCACTTATTTGTTGTTGCTGCTTTATGTCCAATCAGATGAAACCTGCGGCTTCTCAACATGATAGATAAATGTCTGTGTTGGTCTCAGGACTATCTGTTCAGCCAAATTGTAAACAGGTCTTCTGGTCTTACTGGAGATTGAGGCTGGCGTCCACACTGCTGTCCAGATTCAGCATCTTTGCACTTTCCAAATGGCATTTCTCCATAGGTAGGAAGCCAATAAAAAGTCTAAAACAAAAAATAAAAAAACTTGTCCATTAAGTAATGTTAGCATTTAGGCTTACAGTAATTGTTCTTGCATGTAGTGTCCCCTCAATTTAAACACAGACTCACTTTACAGATGCAGGTATTAAGTAGATCGCACAGAGTGTGATGGGAACAAAGAGCACACATTTCCAAACACTCCTCATCCTCTGAAGATGTCTGCGAAAAAAGAGCCAAAGATGTCAGATTAGTCAGATTAAACAGAAATCTCTGATTCTTAACATGCAGAAGTATGTGGCACCGTAGCTTAAACAATAAAGTAGTCTTTATTTTGTTCGTTTTTTATTTTAAAGATGTGAAATACCCCATTGTTGAAAACGCTGGGGTCAAGGCTCAGTTGAAGGTGATCTCTCTTCTGAAAGAACTGGCAGCAGCTGATGTTTCATGAATGAAACGGCCGCACCTGAGAAAAGAAGAGGGAGTATTTTACTTAGCCTATTGAAACAATTCTCATTGAACCTCATTGGTTCAAATTCGCCCATCTAGGTATGGCAGTGCTTTTCTTTTAACTTTCGAGATAGTGGAGGTGATAGGGTAGCTTAATGTTGGTGTTAATTCCAAAATTATATTTTACAATATAAGATCTCAAAGAATAAACTATTGAATATTAACACAAGCAGCCATTCAAGAAGTTTGCCAAAAATAAAATACACTCACAAATGTGGTAACATTTTGATTTTAGGCTATATATGTTTTTTATTCCCCTATTCTCTGGAAGAGTTTAGTTAGAAAATACACAAACAGTGGTAGTTATGTTGCGTTTTACGGGAATGGCCAGTGTAAATAAAAACATATAGGCCCAGCGTCCAACAATTATACAAAAACCTTCATAAATTCTTGTCAATGTTCGAAAATATCACTCATAGTATGGAAACACCTTTAAACTGAATTCAGACAAAGAAAGACATTGTTGACCGGACCAATTGTGCACACAGGATAACAATTAAATTGACATACAAAGGTAACTTACCCGAGAGTCACCATAATTCGTCAAATACTAGCTTTACCAGGTAAGTAGTACCCCACCCTTGATGTTGTTTTAAGACACGATTCGTCTCCCTGCGGCTCAGCTTTGTGTTCTGGGTCAAAATGCAGAGGGGGAGCTTCTTGTTCAAAGGTATTCTCTGACGTTAACAGGAAAACTACCTCCCCCTCTGTTTTTCAGGTATGTTTTCTACCGACGGATACCGCTCCAATACGCTTCTCATTAAGTGTTTACTATGTTTACACCAGGGGTACTCAAACTTTGTATTAAAGGTCCACTTGTGAATGTTATACAAGGTCACTGGTCCGGATAAATGCCAGTAAAGTCCCTCAGAAACGGAGCGGAGCAACGAAACTGAAATTGAACTGAAAGCAGTTTCTTACGGCGCGCTATGCATGGGGCCGCCTCTAGGGGGTTTCCCGACATTTCGTTGCAGTAAATTAAAGGGTGTTTCATGTTGTCGTTGCTGTGGACCTTCTTAATCTACCTTCTTTGGGGGCCCCCTTCTGGTCCAAGCACTTGCCTGCCTTGCCTGTCGGCAAACGGCGCCCCTGGATACACACACTGATTCACCGGTGGATAACGATTTTATGGCCAACATTTGGATCTTTTTATTTTGTCTTCGCTGTCATTATTTGTGTGTTTACTGAGAAGAATTAAGCACGTTAATTGTTTAGTCTAACTTCCTACCTGTGTCAATTCATAGATGATTCCATCAGCTATTTAAAAAACCCCAAGGCTGTACTTCTTGTGATAACATTACATTACATTGTATGTTACTTGTTATACGCTTTTATCCAAAGCGACTTACTCAATACTGTGGGCACTCCCCAGTCCCACAGGAGCAATTTATTGTCAATGTTCGAAAATATCACTCATAGTATGGAAACACCTTTAAACTGAATTCAGACAATATTTTAAAGATAAGAAAGATATTGTTCACCGGACCAATTGTGCACACAGGATATTGGATAACATAATTAAATTGACACACAAACGTAACTTATCCGAGAATCACCGGCATTCATCCATAATTCATTAAATACTAGCTTTACCAAGTAACCCCACCCTTGATGTTGTCTTAAAACCAACCCGGTTTCACGGCAAGACGTGAACAACATGTGACGATTTACCATGCTGGGAGACGTGAACATGTCACGGTTTCGTCCCCTTCAAACGTGACAGCTACACGGTATTGTTAACCCATGTTAACCAGTGGAGAAATAACTGGAAATACCAAGCAAATGCTACCCCGACGTAATGATTTTTTTTCCCATAGTCACACTCGATTACAGCAATTTTCTTGTTGCCCCAGCTGGTCGACACCTCTTTTAGCATAAACAAAGGCTACATTAATGTATTAAATCAATGTTAATCCAGCGTGTGGATGTGGAATTAACGGACGTGACGTTGTGCGATTGAGTTGCCAAGCAACAGCTTTGGTTCATGTTAATTTACAAACTATTCAACTACAACTGTAGTTAAATTTTAAAACATGTTAGAAGGCCTCACGAAATACTTTAATGCACATTAAAATGTAAATGTGAAGGAATGTGAGTATAACAAAATACATCGGTCATTAAACGAAACCGGAAACAGACGTAGGCAAGATCCTCAGCTCGATGATTGGATGGTTATCCGCAATGCATGCTGGGATTTGGTGTTTATGTGATGTGAAATCTGAAAACGTTTTTTAAAAATACAATAATACTTTATTCCGAGTGTGCTTGCTTTTCTCTTTGAAAGTCATCACATAACGGCATTGTAATACACGGTTCGGCTGCATTAAATATTACATATCTGCCGTAATTCTCTATTTATAAAGCCCTGCTGAGAAGACTTCTAGACAAACAGGAGAACTGCCGCCAAAACTGAAAACGTGACGTGGATCATAAATATATAAGCAATTAAACAGCATCTTACATTTATTTTCACACCATACGTCTCCTTGCAGTATCAACACTAATTCGGCTGACTTTTATATTTGATCCAATTGGTAGATAGGCTGTATTTACACCATAACCGTGCAGAGCTGATAGAAAGGGACACCTGGTGGTCAAAGCACGTTATTGAATTGTATTATTTTATTATTAGATATTAATAGGAGGATGTGCAAAACAGACAAACTAATAAGGCTTAATTTAAACATTAAAGAGTACTTTAGGTTAAGGTCTTATTTTGAATAAGATAAAAGCTTTAAGAAGAATATGGAGGGATGAAACCCTCTTGAAACCGCAGGTCCTTCCTTCCTGCAGCGGTCAGACTTTACAACCAGCACTGCCCCTAGTAGACCCTCCTACACACACCACAACACAGACTATAACACCCCTTGCTGCTAAATACAAACCAACTTTGTGCAATATGTGCCTTATGTGCAATATATATATGCCATTAATAACTGTGTAATTTATACCTGGCCACTAAATCAATATATATGCCGTTTTGTTTTTGATCTGTATTTTTGAAAATTATGTAACTTTTTATCTTTTTTTTTAGCATATTGTTTATTATATTATAACTTAGTACTTTTTTAGCATATTGTTTATTTTATTCTAACTTAGTACTTTTTTAACGTATGTAAGATATGCAACACTAAGCTGTCTGTGGCTCTTTCCTGCTGTAACGCTGCACATTTCCCCTCTGTGGAACTAATAAAGGTATTCTGATTCTGATTCTTTAATGGTAACACATGCAGAGCACACAGCACACACAGTGACATTTGTATCTACAGATAAATATTAAGCCTGACAAAGTACTTAACGTCTAATATATTGCTTTCCTGCAATGTTAACTATGTTTAAGCACTTATTTGTTTATTATTAAACTGATATTATACATATGTATTATACTCTTATAAGATGTATGTAGATAGTATAAGAAATGTGCAGAATGACAGTTTAATGGTGGAGTATACACACATATTGATAGATGTCTTGTAATGCACTGTTGAGGAACCTGCGACCCAAGTTTTTCATTCATTGCATAACTACACAGTAGTTGTGTATAATATGATATGTCAATAAACCTTAGCTTATAAAATCTTGAAAGGGATGTTCAAACTAGTCATTATATACAGTCTTTAATGAACTATTAGTAGAGAATAACGAGTAATGAATATACTTTATAGAGATCCTATTAATATCTAATAATAAAATAATAAAATTCAATAACGTGCTTTGACCACCAGGTGTCCCTTTCTATCAGCTCTGCACGGTTATGGTGTAAATACAGCCTATCTACCAATTGGATCAAATATAAAAGTCAGCCGAATTAGTGTTGATACTGCAAGGAGACGCATTGTGTGAAAAGAAATGTAAGATGTTGTATAATTGCTTATATAGTTATGATCCACGTCACGTTTTCAGTTTTGGCGGCAGTTCTCCTGTTTGTCCAGAAGTCTTCTCAGCAGGGCTCTATAAATAGAGAACTACGGCAGATATGTTGATTGATTGATTGAAAAGTTTATTAACAGCTTGTATATTGGGTACAGTACAGTACAGCTCAAAACATACAATTGTTAAGGGGATGCAGACCAGAGAAAGACTTTCGTCTTGTTTACATCAGGGTCCCCCATTTCCAATTCATCATATCATGTCATGTCATATTTAATGCAGCCGAACCGTGTATTACAAAGCCGTTATGTGATGACTTTCAAAGAGTAAAGCAAGCACACTCGGAATAAAGTATTATTGTATTTTTAAAAAACGTTTTCAGATTTCACATCACATAAACACCAAATCCCAGCATGCATTGCGGATAACCATCCAATCATCGAGCTGAGGATCTTGCCTACGTCTGTTTCCGGTTTCGTTTAATGACCGATGTATTTTGTTATACACACATTCCTTCACATTTACATTTTAATGTGCATTAAAGTATTTCGTGAGGCCTTCTAACATGTTTTTAAATATAACTACGGTTGTAGTTGAATCGTTTGTAAATTAACATGAACCGAAGCTGTTGCTTGGCAACTCAATCGCACAACGTCACGTCCGTTAATTCCACATCCACACGCATGGATTAACATCGATTTAATACATTAATGTAGCCTTTGTTTATGCTAAAAGAGGTGTCGACCAGCTGGGGCAACAAGAAAATCGCTGTAATCGAGTGCGACTATTACAAAATAAATCATTACGTCGGGGTAGCATTTGCTTGGTATTTCCGGTTATTTCTCCACTGGTTAACATGGGTTAACAATACCGTGTAGCTGTCACGTTTGAAGGGGACGAAACCGTGACATGTTCACGTCTCCCAGCATGGTAAATCGTCACATGTTCACGTCTTGCCGTGATACCGGGTTGCTTAAGACACGATTCGTCTCCCTGCGGTTCAGCTTTGTGTTTTGGGTCAAAATGCATGGGGGGCTTCTTGTTCAAAGATCTTCTCTGACGTTAACAGGTAAACTACCTCCCCCTCTGTTTTTCAGGTGTGTTTTCTAAGGACGAATACCGCTCCTATACGCTTCTCATCGAGACTCAGTGGCGTAGCAAAAAACAGAAGCTCTTAGATTCAGTGCATCAAATAAGGAACTGATTAGAACGGTTATAAACCTACTTGAATAATTCATTAAGCAATATTGATCGAGCTCTAATGATTTGTCAATGCAACTACATCAAATTCTATTAAAATCCTTTTCTTCTACTAAAGCTTAGCAGAGTGCAGCATACTGGGTTCTCCCTTTAAGCTTTCTTCAGAAACTCATAAGATGATTTTAAATGTCCATTCCTCCAACACATCTTTGAGAAATGGCAGGGAGCCACTGCAGTCACGGGATAAATATGTTTCTATTGTTCCATTCTGAATGAACTAAAGGCAAGACATCCCTAACATAAAGTGTCTCTGTTGTTAGCATGTATGTCTACGACCCCCATTTCAATACTTTGTCAAATCATTCAAATTGGATGCTTTGAAGACTACATATTAATCTGACTCGCTGACATTATGGTGATTATATGTGTATCTTAAATTGGTGAAGATATAATTAATAAACATTGTACATGAACACTGTGAATACAGTTAACGAAGAGCAGCACATCGCTTTACAGAAGAGGAAAGACTGACACAAATCACACATTAACAGGGGGAAGAAAAGCTATTGATTTGACAGTTATAAAAAATGTGACAACATTTGAGTGTCAATAAGTATCAGTTAAAAACAGAGATACAGTGGCATTTGGCAAAGTGACATACAAATAAATAAGCTGGATCAATAAGTGCAGCCAGTTTGATCAAACATGTAAAAAGTTGACTTATATATATATATTATACATCGAAAAAAATGCAACAAAAACATTTGATATCCGGATAAAAGACAAGTGTGTATTTATATAAGAAGTTGTCACTCCATTATGAAAATACTTGAAGATATGCAAATTAATTCCTGAGAGAACAAAATGAGCCGGGGAGCATGAGAACCTGAGACATTACATTTGTTAGCATTTGTCAAGTTTTTAAGGTGTGCGAAGTGTGTCATAATATTTTGGTGCCCACAGTAATCGGGTGACTTGTATGTCTTTCCTGAAACCGATGCTGGTATCCCAGCAGTACTCTGGAGAGAGAACCTTGCTGGGTTTGTGGAGCAGCATGTACTTGTTCAGATGGCTCTCATCGTGCCACAGAGCCTCCACATTGTTCTGTTTGTCCTCCATGATGCCCTGATAGCAGGCCTCGGTCAACGCTTTCACATTCTTCCACGAGCCCCCGAAGATGGCAGCGTGGTAGTAAAAATCCCCAGTTTCCATGTACGCCTTGGAGTTTGGGTTGCGGTCGTAGGTGTACAAATGCTTTGGAAGGCGGTAGTAGTGGGCGTGGAGTAGAGCTACTGAATCCCCAAGAGCCTCTGATCCAAATCTCCCAGTAAATACCTGATCCACATCAAAGCAGAAGACGTGCGTGCAGTGGTGGCGAATATCAGACTCTATCACATCTGATATGCTCTTCATTCGCATCATAGAGACGTCCTGCCACCTGGAGTTCTTCTCCACTTTGATCACCTTCATGCTTCTCAGAGGAGACAACTTGATGTTAGGCACCTTCTCTGGCATATCCGTAAACACGTAGTAGGTCACGGGCAAACCCACCATAAAGTGTTGCTCGGATGAGTTCAGGAATGTGTGTAGGTAAGCATCAAGGTATCTTTTGAGGAAAAGAAAACAAGTCACATTTCTGTTAGACTCTTATCACTCTACCTCCAGAGGAAACTGAGGTCCATTGATGCGTGCAACTAAATGTTGCAGATCTTATTTAGTCTGCTGCTGCAAGTAAAAACTGTTTGCTGCAATGTGCTGGGGCAGTGGTATCTGATCTGGTGACCTCAACCGACCAAACAAACAGTAGCCTATGACTTTATCTGTAACTGCACTACAATTAATTTTAAGACTAGATGCAGCATGTCCACTTCACATGTTTATGAGTACAGTAAAACATATATTTTCTAAGTTAGCTATAGTAACTATAAGCACTGGGTTTTTTGGGGGGTCATTATGTTTTGTGTTTTTTTTGTCATGTTTTACAGTTTGTCATACAGTTTGTCTGCGATAACAGAAACCTGGTGCTGCCAACTTTTTTTTTTTTTTTTACAATCTGTCCAACCATCACCCAGTTAAACATTAATGCACTAAAAATACAGTTGGCTGAGCAGGAGGTATTTAGGTTTGATGACAGATTATCTTTAGAGTTATTACTTTATTCATGTGAAAACCAACCTGCCCACAGCAAAGACTGTTAGAGCCACAGAGGATCCTCTCATCTTGTGCATCTCGTCATAGAGGCGGGGGTCAAACATCCCTTCCCAGATGATGGCAGCTTTCCAATATGTACAGGTTAGCACGTCAGGTCTGGACCTGAAATATAAAACAAATGTATTTTTTTAGACTGAATTCCCTTTTATAATACTCTTCTTTACCAACCTGAAGCTTACTACAGGTAAATTGTGACTCAAACACGTCATATGCATCTAAATATTTTTAGTAGTATTATTTTATATTTACACTCAACTTAGATTCAGTTAAATTCTGTTGCACTAAAACTTTAACTGCAATTTCAGGTTAAACATATAAAATAGCTACCCTTCTGATATGGATTAAGCAAAAATAGTTTTATGTGGCTCCATTAATTCAGCCAACATTTATTTATAAATACACCTTCTTCTTAGGAATTATTTAAAAAGGTGAAATACAAAAACCACCACTTATTTGTTGTTGCTGCTTTATGTCCAATCAGATGAAACCTGCGGCTTCTCAACATGATAGATAAATGTCTGTGTTGGTCTCAGGACTATCTGTTCAGCCAAATTGTACAGGTCTTCTGGTCTTACTGGAGATTGAGGCTGGCGTCCACACTGCTGTCCAGATTCAGCATCTTTGCACTTTCCAAATGGCATTTCTCCATAGGTAGGAAGCCAATAAAAAGTCTAAAACAAAAAATAAAAAAACTTGTCCATTAAGTAATGTTAGCATTTAGGCTTACAGTAATTGTTCTTGCATGTAGTGTCCCCTCAATTTAAACACAGACTCACTTTACAGATGCAGGTATTAAGTAGATCGCACAGAGTGTGATGGGAACAAAGAGCACACATTTCCAAACACTCCTCATCCTCTGAAGATGTCTGCGAAAAAAGAGCCAAAGATGTCAGATTAGTCAGATTAAACAGAAATCTCTGATTCTTAACATGCAGAAGTATGTGGCACCGTAGCTTAAACAATAAAGTAGTCTTTATTTTGTTCCTTTTTTTTTTTAAAGATGTGAAATACCCCATTGTTGAAAACGCTGGGGTCAAGGCTCAGTTGAAGGTGATCTCTCTTCTGAAAGAACGTGGCAGCAGCTGATGTTTCATGAATGAAACGGCCCGCACCTGAGAAAAGAAGAGGGAGTATTTTACTTAGCCTATTGAAACAATTCTCATTGAACCTCATTGGTTCAAATTCGCCCATCTAGGTATGGCAGTGCTTTTCTTTTAACTTTCGAGATAGTGGAGGTGATAGGGTAGCTTAATGTTGGTGTTAATTCCAAAATTATATTTTACAATATAAGATCTCAAAGAATAAACTATTGAATATTAACACAAGCAGCCATTCAAGAAGTTTGCCAAAAATAAAATACACTCACAAATGTGGTAACATTTTGATTTTAGGCTATATATGTTTTGTATTCCCCTATTCTCTGGAAGAGTTTAGTTAGAAAATACACAAACAGTGGTAGTTATGTTGCGTTTTACGGGAATTGCCAGTGTAAATGAAAACATATAGGCCCAGCGTCCAACAATTATACATAAACCTTCATAAATTCTTGTCAATGTTCGAAAATATCACTCATAGTATGGAAACACCTTTAAACTGAATTCAGACAAAGAAAGACATTGTTGACCGGACCAATTGTGCACACAGGATAACAATTAAATTGACATACAAAGGTAATTTACCAGTCACCATAATTCGTCAAATACTAGCTTTACCAGGTAAGTAGTACCCCACCCTTGATGTTGATTTAAGACACGATTCGTCTCCCTGCGGCTCAGCTTTGTGTTCTGGGTCAAAATGCAGAGGGGGAGCTTCTTGTTCAAAGGTATTCTCTGACGTTAACAGGAAAACTACCTCCCCCTCTGTTTTTCAGGTATGTTTTCTACCGACGGATACCGCTCCAATACGCTTCTCATTAAGTGTTTACTATGTTTACACCAGAGGTACTCAAACTTTTTTATTAAAGGTCCACTTGTGAATGTTATACAAGGTCTCCGGTCCGGATAAATGCCAGTAAAGTCCCCCAGAAACGGAGCGGTGCAACGAAACTGAAATTGAACTGAAAGCAGTTTCTTACGGCGCACTATGCATGGGGCCGCCTTGAGGGGGTTTCCCGACATTTCGTTGCAGTAAATTAAAGGGTGTTTCATGTTGTCGTTGCTGTGGACCTTCTTAATCTACCTTCTTTGGGGGCCCCCTTCTGGTCCAAGCACTTGCCTGCCTTGCCTGTCGGCAAACGGCGCCCCTGGATACACACACTGATTCACCGGTGGATAACGATTTTATGGCCAACATTTGGATCTTTTTATTTTATCTTCGCTGTCATTATTTGTGTGTTTACTGAGAATAATTAAGCACGTTAATTGTTTAGTCTAACTTCCTACCTGTGTCAATTCATAGATGATTCCATCAGCTATTTAAAAAACCCCAAGGCTGTAGCCTACTTCTTGTGATAACATTACATTACATTGTATGTTACTTGTTATACGCTTTTATCCAAAGCGACTTACTCAATACTGTGGGCACTCCCCAGTCCCACAGGAGCAATTTGGGGTGAAGTGGCTTGCCCAGGGACACAACGACATGCTGACTGCAGTGGGGTTTCAACCTGTGCCCCCCTGATCCAAACACCATCGCACCTACGCCACACGCCTTCCCAACATAACAGATAACAATTTTTGTATTTTGCATGCATGTTGCATGTAAATAAAAACATATAGCCTACCATCCAACAATTAGACAAAAACCTTCATAAATTCTTGTCAATGTTCGAAAATATCACTCATGGAAACACCTTTAAACTGAATTCAGACAATATTTTAAAGATAAGAAAGATATTGTTCACCGGACCAATTGTGCACACAGGATATTGGATAACATAATTAAATTGACACACAAACGTAACTTACCCGAGAATCACCGGCATTCATCCATATTTCATTAAAAACTAGCTTTACCAAGTAACCCCACCCTTGATGTTGTCTTAAGACACGATTCGTCTCCCAGTTGAGTAAAGTTAGAACGATATTGGCAGATTCGGATTTCACGGATCAATAACTCATGAACAAAACGTTATTCACACACAAATGATGTCTCCTATGTACCGTGGTAAGGTTGACAACGAACTACAATCATATGTTGATAAAAAAAAAACAATATGCGCCGTCCTCCGAGCTGGACACATTAAATTGGTCTCTTTCAGCAGCCGGAGATGAAACAAGTGCTCAGGGACCGTCTGCAAAGTGCAACTCCGAAAAAAGAAAATACAATAATATTCAATAACGTCACTATTATACAGTATATTTCTACCAAACTCACTACACACATCAATAGTCTCCTGGTGGTTGGACTACAGCAGAGAGTTTGAAAGAATGTGCTTTGGAATAATTTGAATAATTTTGGTGAATATTTATAGTGTAAAATCTTCAATAAATATGGTATAATCTTCAATAGCGTCACTATTATACAGTATATGTCTCCCAAACTCACTACACACATCAATAGTCTCCTGGTGGTTGGACTACAGCAAAGAGTTTGGAAGAATGTGCTTTTGAATAATTTTGGTGAATATTTATAGTGTCAAATCTTCCATAAATATGGTATAATCTTCAATAGCGTCACTATTATACAGTATATGTCTCCCAAACTCACTACACACATCAATAGTCTCCCGGTGGTTGGACTACAGAAGAGAGTTTGGAAGAATTTGCTTTTGAATAATTTTGGTGAATATTTATGGTGTAAATTCTTCAATAAATATGGTATAATCTTCAATAGCGTCACTATTATACAGTATATGTCTCCCAAACTCACTACACACATCAATAGTCTCCTGGTGGTTGGACTACAGAAGAGAGTTTGGAAGCATTTTCTTTTGAATAATTTTGGTGAATATTTATAGTGTAAAATCTTCAATAAATATGGTACAATCTTCAATAGCGTCACTATTATACAGTATATGTCTCCCAAACTCACTACACACATCAATAGTCTCCTGGTGGTTGGACTACAGAAGAGAGTTTGGAAGAATGTGCTTTTGAATAATTTTGGTGAATATTTATAGTGTCAAATCTTCAATAAATATGGTACAATCTTCAATAGCGTCACTATTATACAGTATATGTCTCCCAAACTCACTACACACATCAATAGTCTCCTGGTGGTTGGACTACAGAAGAGAGTTTGGAAGAATTTGCTTTTGAATAATTTTGGTGAATATTTATAGTGTCAAATCTTCAATAAATATGGTATAATCTTCAATAGCGTCACTATTATACAGTATATGTCTCCCAAACTCACTACACACATCAATAGTCTCCCGGTGGTTGGACTACAGAAGAGAGTTTGGAAGAATTTGCTTTTGAATAATTTTGGTGAATATTTATGGTGTAAAATCTTCAATAAATATGGTACAATCTTCAATAGCGTCACTATTATACAGTATATGTCTCCCAAACTCACTACACACATCAATAGTCTCCTGGTGGTTGGACTACAGAAGAGAGTTTGGAAGAATGTGCTTTTGAATAATTTTGGTGAATATTTATAGTGTCAAATCTTCAATAAATATGGTACAATCTTCAATAGCGTCACTATTATACAGTATATGTCTCCCAAACTCACTACACACATCAATAGTCTCCTGGTGGTTGGACTACAGAAGAGAGTTTGGAAGAATTTGCTTTTGAATAATTTTGGTGAATATTTATAGTGTCAAATCTTCAATAAATATGGTATAATCTTCAATAGCGTCACTATTATACAGTATATGTCTCCCAAACTCACTACACACATCAATAGTCTCCCGGTGGTTGGACTACAGAAGAGAGTTTGGAAGAATTTGCTTTTGAATAATTTTGGTGAATATTTATGGTGTAAAATCTTCAATAAATATGGTACAATCTTCAATAGCGTCACTATTATACAGTATATGTCTCCCAAACTCACTACACACATCAATAGTCTCCTGGTGGTTGGACTACAGCAGAGAGTTTGGAAGAATCTGCTTTGGAATAATTTTGGGGAAGATTTATAATGTATTATAACATACTGTATATACAATGTTACACATTGTATATAGGCTACAGTATGTTATATATAAATTAAGACATGAAACAACTTTTTCATTAGCTATGAAACAGTAAAATGGTCACAATCTTATGAACGATCCAAATGCAGCACTCGAGAAACCAAACCAAGGAGTATTGGTAATGAACTTTATTTGTAATAATACCAGAGCAGAGGGATAACAGAACAGTATCAGCCGGATGATGGGCAGGCAAACGAACCAGAGGACAGCGGGCAGAAGGTGAGTCAGGGCCGGGCAGAGGGTCAGGGAGCAGGCGAGGCGGTCAACGGAGGTACAGGCAGGATCAGGGATCAGGCAGAGCAGGCAGAGCAGGCAGGTCGGGGACAGGCAGGGTCGGAACCGGGTAGGCAATCTAGTAACACACGCGTGAAAGACTAGCATGAAGGCAAAGTACGATCTGGCAACGGGTGTGTGTCTGGTGAGGGTTTAAATACTGGTAGTAAAGCTAATGGGTGCAGAAGAGAAAGACAGTGAGCAAAAACGTGGGTGTGGTTAACAGGTGAGACAGGTGAATGGAAAACTACTGGTGAATGATGGAACAGACAAAATAAAGTTAACATTGAAAAATAAAAAATGTCAGGCTTTTCACCTATCTTACTGTACAATATTAATGAACAAATCCACAATCTAATGTCAGACATGGAAAACATCATGAACATCTGTGACTACTTTAATCTGTAATTGAAAATATATTTAACATCTTAATTAAGAATATAACAAGTTAAAACTGTGGACAGGTGATTATTATGTCACGATCTGTCTTTATGGTGTTTTGTCTTGTCTAGATCTGTCTTTGGTTTTCTGTCTGCGTTGTGTTTTGTCCTATTTAGATCTGTCTGTGGTTCCCTGTCGTTAGTTTCCCTGGTGTGTCTGATTACCCGATTGTGTTCACCTGGTGTCCCTGTGTTTTCTCCTCCCTCCTCACCTGTGTCTTGTTTGTGTGATTAGTCTTGTGTGTATTTAAGTTCTGGTTTTTCTGTCTGTCTTTGTCGTTTTGTCTTGTGTCATGACTAGTTCGTCGATCAGTGTTCTGTTTTGTCTTTGTTTATATCCTAGCCTTGAAATAAAGGAATTTTCACGTTAATCTGCATTTGGGTCCTACCTGCTTCACACACCGTAACATATTAATCATTACTTCAGTTGCCCAAAATCTTTAGCAAAGCTTTTTTCTGGATTTTTATTTGTTTTGTACAAAATTCAGCTTTCATTTAGCCGATTTCAAATCACTGGCTGGGCTGGATTTCCCCCCACATGCCGTTTGTAAGTGCACTACTTCTACTGTGGTAGTAGTTCAAACTACAAGCCTTACCTCCCCAAATCCTGGTACCTCTGGTAAAAGTTACACAAACTCACCTCTAGCCTCTTTAGTTTGTGAGGATACACAAAACACAATACCACGGGGTATTCTTTTTGGGTATTCGTGCAGCAGGCATTCCGAGGCACTGCGTGTGAAACCATCTCCCACAAGTTTCACACTGAATCTACATGGGGACAAATACAACAAAGATATTAAGAAAATGTAAAGTGTAGGACACTTGTAAAGCAGGCATATTCATTTATATTTTAAAGAGATTATACTTTTTTTTATATACAGTATATATAAATATTTGTTGTTATTCAGGTTATCTGTACTGTGCTAAAACTTTAACAAATTATAAGAAAAACAAAAGGAAACCTGTAATGCATACAAATATACAAAATGTCATTACTTTTATGTTATTCCTGAAATCTAACTCCAGATGATCTATATATTATCTATTATTCAGATTATCTTCTGGAGTTTAAAAAAAAATCATCATTTAGTCTCACCCAAACAGCATCAACAGCAGTTGTGGGCAGGTCCTCAATTCCACAGAAGGAACAGAAGTCATCCTTTGAAACTGAAAAAATAACGGGTGTATTACTGTTCAATTTACAGGAAGCCGTCCATATATTCATTTCATATTTTTGGCTAATACCTGATCCTCTGAGAATTTCTTCTGCCATGTCTCTTCGTAGATGTTGTGATGACTTGATGTGAAACGTCTTTGGAATTTTGGGAAATTCCTTCACTGTCATCTTGGCCATCTGGACAGATGGTAAAATAACATGACGTTATGACGTGTTTTTGAATTTCCCTTTAAAATAAAATGCTTTATTATTAATGAACACAACATGTTGCATTAAATCACCTGCATGACAAAGGCTCCACAACTGGTGGCATCTTTCTGGAAGGTGTGGGTTATTTTTCCAGGCTGCCATTTGATGCTAACCCAGTCCTCTTTTCCCAGTCTGTTCCGGCGCATCTTGAAATACTCTCTAGAACAAGAGGAAATAAAATGTAATTGGCGCTTACTCTTTGCCTTTACCAAATGTGCGTTTAACCAATGTATTTCCTGTAATATATTTGATATTACCCAAATTTGTAAGCAGCCTTTCTGGAGTCCTCAACTTCATTTGACCCTTGCAGAGGATCAACCACATAAATGTGGTTTGAAAGGGTATGGAGGTACTGTTTTAAAAAGTAGCATACGGTATAATTAAACCAAACCTTTTTCAATATGTCAGCAGCAACAATAATGTATCAGCTTTTCTTCAAAAATGAAAACCACAGTTATTAAAATCACTTCAACTGTTAAAAAAGCTATTAAAAGTAATACTGAAGAATTTACACCATAAATATTCACCAAAATTATTCAAAAGCAAATTCTTCCAAACTCTCTTCTGTAGTCCAACCACCGGGAGACTATTGATGTGTGTAGTGAGTTTGGGAGACATATACTGTATAATAGTGACGCTATTGAAGATTGTACCATATTTATTGAAGATTTTACACTATAAATATTCACCAAAATTATTCAAAAGCAAATTCATCCAAACTCTCTGCTGTAGTCCAACCACCAGGAGACTATTGATGTGTGTAGTGAGTTTGGGAGACATATACTGTATAATAGTGACGCTATTGAAGATTATACCATATTTATTGAAGATTTTACACTATAAATATTCACCAAAATTATTCAAAAGCAGATTCTTCCAAACTCTCTGCTGTAGTCCAACCACCAGGAGACTATTGATGTGTGTAGTGAGTGTGGGAGACATATACTGTATAATAGTGACGCTATTGAAGATTATACCATATTTATTGAAGATTTTACACTATAAATATTCACCAAAATTATTCAAAAGCACATTCTTCCAAACTCTCTGCTGTAGTCCAACCACCAGGAGACTATTGATGTGTGTAGTGAGTTTGGGAGACATATACTGTATAATAGTGACGCTATTGAAGATTGTACCATATTTATTGAAGATTTGACACTATAAATATTCACCAAGATTATTCAAAAGCACATTCTTCCAAACTCTCTGCTGTAGTCCAACCACCAGGAGACTATTGATGTGTGTAGTGAGTTTGGTAGCACTCTACTGTATAATAGTGACGCTAGTGAATATTATTGAATATTATTGTATTCTCTTTTTTCGGAGTTGCACTTTGCAGACGGTCCCTGAGCACTCATCCCTTTTCCGGCTGCAGATAGAGACCAATGTAATTTGTCCAGTTTTGAGGACGGCGCATATTGGCTTTTTTTTTTATCAACATGTGATTGTAGTTCGTTGTCAACCTTACCACGATACTTAGGAGACGTCATTTGTGTCTGAATAACATTTTGTTCATGAGTTATTGATCCGTGAAATCCGAATCTGCCAATATCGTTCTAACTTTACTCAACTTCGTCTCCCTGCGGTTCAGCTTTGTGTGTTGGGTCAAAATGCAGAGGGGGGGCTTCTTGTTCAAAGATCTTCTCTGACGTTAACAGGTAAACTACCTCCCCCTCTGTTTTTCAGGTGTGTTTTCTAAGGACTGATACCGCTCCTATACGCTTCTCATCGAGACTCAGTGGCGTAGCAAAAAACAGAAGCTCTTAGATTCAGTGCATCAAATAAGGAACTGATTAGAACGGTTATAAACCTACTTGAATAATTCATTAAGCAATGTTCTGAATGTAGTAACCTTCCCAAAGTGTACATTATATATTCAGTATTCACTCTCTTCTTGTTGTGGAGAAACATATCTGGCCCTTGTTAATCTTCATCATACAGAAGACATGTTTATCACTCCCTGCTCTAAGATACTTTTATACAATGTTCATTGTTATTAATGTCACATTGAGACATTACAGTGGGAGTTGTTGAAGGCTTTTTATTTACCTTCGGCACATTAAATAGACCTTATAATTTCTCGTCAGGAATATAGATATGAGATGGTAGACACTGACAAACCAAGGACTCTTAAACAGGAAACCACAAATCGTGTTCTGTCTAGCAAAAGGTTAACACAATTACTGTCATAGTCTGCTCCATCATTCACCAGTAGTTTTCCATTCACCTGTCTCACCTGTTTTCCACACCCACTCATTAGCTCACTCTCTTTCTCTTCTGCACCCATTAGCTTCTGCCAGTATTTAAACCCGCACCTTACACACACTCTTTGCCAGATTGTACTTTGCCTCATGCTTGTCTTTCCCGCGTTTGAAACTAGATTGCCTACCCGGTTCCGACCCTGCCTGTCCTCGATCTGCCTGCTCTGCCTGTTCCCTGATCCTGCCTGTCCCTCGACTATCCTGTCTGGCCTGTTATCCGACCCTGCCTGTATCCCCGCTGACCGCCTCGCTTACTCCCTGACTCTCTGCCTGTCCCTGACTCACCTTCTGCCCGCTGTCCTCCGGTGCGTTAAACTGCTCGGTTGGAATTCCTCAGATCCAGTGGAATCTCCAATAAAGTGTATTACCAATTCTCCTTGGTTTCTCGAGTGCTGCATTTGGGTTCTCCTTAAGATTGTGACAGAACAATCTGGCCAGAATATGGACCCAGCGCACTCCTCTGCACCTAGAGACCGTTTCGTGAGAGTTGAGGACGCTCTCCAGAGGCAGGAAGCCTCGATAGCCGCCCTGGCCACCGAGGCTCATCATGCTAACTCTTCACATGACCAGACGCTAACCTATTTAGCTGCGCAGCTACAGCAGCTAACGGCTACTGTGCAGCAGCTAGTGGCAGGAGTGGTCGCTCCAGCGCCTCTTCCTATGCCGTCGACACCGGCTTCTGCATCACCTCTGATGGGATTTACCCCGGAGCCTCGGGTGGGAACTCCGGAGCGCTACGCCGGGGAACCGGAGGGCTGCAGCCCGTTTCTTACGAACTGTTCTATCCTGTTTGCGCTGCAGTCACACACTTTCGCTTCTGAAGCTGCTCGTGTGGCCTTCACGGTCAATCATTTGACTGGGAAAGCCCGACTATGGGGCACAGCGGAATGGGAGCAACAAACACCCGCCTGCTCTTCGTTCCCCCGCTTTTTCTGCGGAGCTGCGCAAGGTGTTTGGACCCGTGTCTGTGGGTCCAGACGCTGCAGGAGGACTACTGAACCTGAGCCAGGGTAATGGATCTGTGGTGGATTATGCCATTGAGTTTCGCACCCGGAGCCGCCTCAGCAACTGGAATTTTGCAGCCCAGTGTGATGCCTATCTGCGTGGTTTGGCGGATTACATTAAAGACGAGCTGGTGTCGTTTGATCTGCCCAATTCACTGGATGGGTTGATTGAACTGACTTCCCGCATGGATCGGCGCATCCAGACACGGAGACGGGAGCGACGATCGGCGGGAGTTCAACATGCCTGGGCGCCCCGACGTCCGAGTTTGGCTACGACACCTCACCTCACTCCAGAGCCGCAACCAGGGGGGGATGAGCCCATGCAGGTGGGTCGCACCAACCTCACTTTGGAGGAACGTGAGCATCGCAGACGTCGTAATCTGTGTCTCTACTGCGGCCGGGCCGGCCATTTTGTTTCTCACTGCCCGGTAAAAGGCAAGGCTCAGCAGTAATGGGGAACATACTGGTGAGCCAAACCCCTGGATTTGTTCCCACTCAGAGACCATTGAGCCACGCCAGGTTGCTATTACCGGATAGCTCTCAGGCGCTTGCTGTTTTTATTGACTCTGGTTCGGACGCGAATATTATGGACGAGAAGCTTATGCTGCAGTTGGGAATAGACCGGGTTCTTTTGTCTCGCCCAGTTCCAGCCAACGCTTTAGACGGTCACCTGCTGGGGACAGTGACTCATCAGACTGTACCCGTTCACATGCTCCTGTCTGGGAACCATCACGAAACTATTCAGTTTCATGTTCTCCGGTCTCCACATATTCCGCTGATCCTGGGTTATCCATGGCTCCGCCGCCACAACCCTAACATTGACTGGGAGACGGGAGCCATTTTGGGTTGGAGTCCTTCTTGTCATCTGATCTGCCTGAAACAGGCTGCCGCGCCTCAGCGTTCGGTAAACCCCAGCCAAGTTCCAGATGTTACAGGGGTTCCACCGGAATATCTGGACTTCAAGGAAGTATTCAGCAAGTCGAGGGCTACTTCCTTACCACCACACCGGCCCTACGACTGTGCCATCGACCTGCATCCCGGGACCAGCCCCCCCAGGGGTCGATTGTACTCCCTGTCTGCTCCGGAAAGAGTTTCCATGGAGACTTATATCAATGACTCTCTGGCGGCTGGGATTATTCGCCCGTCCTCATCACCTGCTGGCGCAGGGTTCTTCTTTGTAGAGAAGAAGGACAAGACCCTAAGACCCTGTATCGACTTTCGGGGTCTTAATGACATTACGATCAAGAATCGATACCCACTGCCTCTTATCTCTTCTGCATTTGAGTTGCTGCAGGGAGCAACCATATTCACAAAGCTGGACTTGCGTAACGCGTACCACTTGGTACGTATTCGCGAGGGGGATGAGTGGAAGACAGCCTTCAACACCACCTCGGGGCACTACGAGTACCTAGTCATGCCTTTTGGGCTTACCAACGCCCCTGCAGTATTCCAGGCGTTGGTAAATGACGTGCTCCGAGACATGTTGGACCGACACGTGTTTGTTTACTTGGATGACATCCTGATCTTTTCCAAGACACTGAAAGAACACGTGCACCACGTCCAGGCGGTTCTCAAGAGATTGCTCGAGAACTCGCTGTTTGTTAAAACGGAGAAGTGCGAGTTTCACACATCCTCTGTCTCTTTTCTGGGATACATTGTGGGACAGGGGAGTATCGAGATGGATCCTTCCAAGGTTGATGCAGTCACTTCCTGGGCGGTTCCAGAATCCCGGAAGCGGCTACAACAGTTCCTCGGGTTCGCCAACTTCTACCGGAGGTTCATTCGTGGATACAGTACCTTGGCCGCTCCTCTCACAGCCCTGACCTCCTCTAAGGTTATGTTCCAGTGGTCCTCCTCGGCTGAGGAGGCGTTCCAGAACCTTAAGGCCAGGTTCACCTCCGCCCCCATCCTCCGAGTACCCGATCCTGTAAGACAGTTTGTTTTGGAGGTGGATGCCTCTGATATGGGGGTGGGAGCCATCCTGTCTCAGCGAGCAATGAACAGCCAAAAACTCCATCCTTGTGATTTCTTTTCAAGGCGTTTGACTCCAGCGGAAAGAAATTATGATGTGGGAAACCGGGAGCTGCTAGCAGTGAAGTTGGCTCTGGAGGAGTGGCGTCACTGGCTCGAGGGGACCAGTCAACCTTTCCTGGTGTGAACCGACCACAAGAATTTGGAGTACATCCGGTCGGCCCGCAGACTGAATTCCCGACAGGCTAGATGGGCCCTTTTCTTCACTCGGTTCAATTTCTCCCTCTCCTACCGCCCTGGTTCTCGGAACATTAAGGCTGACGCTCTTTCTCGTCAGTTTGGAGAGGGAGGTAACATTCCCAGGGGCTTGGACACCATCCTTCCGACTCCTCAGCTCGTCGCCGCCCTCATCTGGGAGGTGGAGGAGAGGGTCAAGGCCGCCCAGCAGGACCAGCCGGGACCCAGTGCCTGTCCGCCGAACCGCCTGTTCGTTCCGCAGACGTTGAGGTCTGATGTTATCCAGTTGGCTCATAACTCCAGACTCACCTGCCATCCTGGGATCCAACGTACATGGGAGGTAGTCCAGCAAAGGTTCTGGTGGGCAACACTTAAGGAGGACACCAGGGAATTTGTTAATGCCTGCCCTGTTTGCAATCAAAACAAGTCTTCTCACCAAGCTCCTGCTGGTCTCCTACGACCTCTGCCTATCCCTCATCGCCCCTGGTCTCACATTTCTCTGGACTTTGTTACTGGTCTGCCACCGTCCAACGGACACACTGCCATCTTGACGGTGGTAGACCGATTCAGTAAGATGGCTCATTTTGTGCCGATACCCAAGCTCCCCTCAGCCAAAGAGACGGCGGAGCTGGTCCTGCTCCATGTGTTCCGGCTCCATGGGCTGCCTACTGATGTGGTTTCCGATCGTGGTCCTCAATTTACCTCAGTGTTCTGGAGGGAATTCTGCACGCTCCTTGGGGCCACGGTCAGTCTGTCATCCGGTTTCCATCCGCAATCCAACGGTCAGACAGAAAGAAAGAACCAGGAGATGGAGACGACCTTACGCTGTATAGTCTCCAAGAACCCAGCGGCCTGGGATAAACAACTGCTCTGGGTCGAGTACGCCCACAACACTCTGGTCAGTTCGGCCACCAAGTTGTCCCCATTTCAGTGTGCTTACGGGTTTCAACCCCCTCTGTTTCCAGCCCTGGAGAGGGAGGTTACCTGTCCGTCCGTCCAGGCTTTCATCCGTCGTTGTCGACGGACCTGGAATCAAGCCCGGAGAACTCTCGTTTGTTCGGCCAACCGATACGCCTCCTCTGCCAACCGCTGACGTTCCAAAGCACCTGTCTACCAGGTGGGCCAAAAGGTATGGCTTTCCTCCCGGGATATTCCTTTACGGGTGGATTCGAAGAAGCTTGCACCTCGATTCATTGGACCTTTTGAGATTGTCAGGATAATCAATCCCGCAGCAGTAAGGCTAAGACTGCCTCGGACTCTGCGGATCCATCCCACCTTCCACGTTTCCAGGATCAAACCTGTGCGAGAGAGTGCCTTGGTTCCTAAGGTCCCTCCCCCACCACCGCCCCGGATGATTGACGGCGGGCCTACGTACATTCTCCGACGACTTATTCGTTCCCGTCGCAGAGGAAGAGGAGTCCAGTACCTGGTGGACTGGAAGGGTTACGGCCCTGAGGAGAGGGCTTGGGTTCCAGCTCGTCATGTGTTGGACCCCCGGCTCATCAGGGAGTTCCATCGGCGTAATCCTGAGCAACCGTCTAAGACCGTCACGTCGACGGGCAGAAACACAGGGAGAGTCTCTCCTCTTACCGTCAGCTCTTCAGAGGAGGACAGCGAGGGGCCGGCTTCTGATGAGGACGCAGATTCCGACAGGGGGCAGGAGAGGGAGGCCAAAAGAACTTTTTCAGATGAGTATTAATCCCACCTCCCACCCTCCTCTGTAGATTAGCATTTAGGGACGTCAGGAGCCGTCCATTAAGGGGGGGGTTCTGTCATAGTCTGCTCCATCATTCACCAGTAGTTTTCCATTCACCTGTCTCACCTGTTTTCCACACCCACTCATTAGCTCACTCTCTTTCTCTTCTGCACC